GATTCATTGTACACAGTTGCAGCACAACTTTTCATTTCTCTGGCTGTACATGAGGTAGTGTTACACCTCATGTGCAGTCTTACACGTATCTAGGGTAATGATGTGCATCTCATTCCACCATCTTTCCTGCCCCCATGCACCCTCCCCAACCTCCCACCACCTTGCGCAAAGTTCCTCCATTTTTTCTCATGCCTAATATATTAATTTAAAAAAAAAAACCACTGAACTAACATCACAAAACATAACTTTAGCCATATCATCCAGTTGTTATCTAATGTATTGACCAAATGAATAACCAATTCCTCAGTGTAAGATAAAATATAAAATGCTAAATTCTGAAGAAATAATTTTCTAGTTTTGTTTAAGGTGCTGCTAAATACAGGATTATATATTGATTTAACAAATATTCAATGCCATTATATACGAGTAGTTCTAGATAAAGACACCAAAAGAACTAATTCAGAGTATATAGCCAATAGTGTGCATAAAGTAAAATATGTCCATTGGTAATGACACTAAATTAAACTACCAAAGCTATCTTTCCAATTCCAATTTTATGTTCACATTCTATAGATAACTTTGTGACTCCTGTATTTTTTAAATTCAATTTTTAAACACTGTTATTGACTAGAAATATTTGGAATTTCAAATAATTTGTTTTTAAGGGACATAATATATTTTTAACATAGTAGTTTGTGGGGAAGTGAGGCTCAACATGGTCATTTGTTGGGAAATGAGGATGTTAGCTTAATAAATGTTAAGGCACCGTCAGGACCAAGACTCTATGACTAAGAAACAATAACTCACTGGGTTCATCACATAAGAGGAACACTGACCAAATGACTCACAATCATTCTTAGAAGTAGAGCATTTCCTAATATATTTTGGGCAAATTTCCTTTATGTGAAATGCTTTCCGATTCCAAACTACAAAACCTGGCAGCTTTCTGACCTAGTTGAATGAGCTGCCCTGGTGCATCATTGTGGTCAGATTTTCTGAACTCTACTAAAATCTGAGCTAAATAATTTTATGAGGCCTATTGCTGATCTTTATTTCAAACCATGACTCCTTCACTTGTTAGACCTGCAGTTATTGCACTTAAATTTTAGTTTCCACATCCCTAGAATGGTGATAAGATTGTGTAGGACTTATCAGGAGGGTTAGGTGAGGTGATGTTTGTAAAGCATTTTCAGAACCCCTGGTACATAGTGCTATTCAGAAAGGCTGGCTGGCATTTTAGTTATCATTTCTACATCCACACAACTAGGGCCCTTTTGTCCCTAGTTGTTTTGGGAATCCTTGAAGTCTCTATAATCATCTGTGCCAGGTGTTTCTGCAGGAGCCACTGCTGCTTGCAAAACATCTCACAGGCAGTCACTGAAGATTAGATATGAACCAAGATCGAACTCAGTCCAAAGCCAAGTGTTATCCACCTCAACACAACCATTATGAGGAGAGGAAAGGTGTTCTATGAGCAAACCTGGCGTCCTCTTCCCTTTTACATTTTGAAATTTCCCTTAAGATTTAAATTTTTTTTCAGAAGGGTCCAACAAAACAACACATATGCGCGTGCACACACATACACCCAAACACACACATAAAAAATACTTTGCTGTGATAAAGTCCAACTCTCTTAGCCTGGCTTTGAAGACTTTCAAAATCTGGCTGCAGTTCACTTCTCCAGCCTCCCATCCTCATTTCTCCCCTTCTCTTTTGGTTTACTCCACTGCTGGCCACCTTGACTGTGACTCATGCATGTGACACCCTTCCCATCTGCATACTTCAGCCCCAGATGCAGAGCTTTCTCCCACACTGCCAAATCTTGCCCCATTCTAGGGGCAAGGTCAGACCTTGTGGAAAGCTTTCCAGAATACCTGGACCAAGTCAGATCCAAATTCATACCCCATCTTCATCTCTAATTAGCCCTATATTTGTGGATTCTTTAAATAAAATAGAAAGAATTCTACCCCCACTGCTGATAGGAGGACTGATTGTGGCAAACAAGGACCACTAGCACTAACCACTTGTCTCAAGTGTATCAATTACTTCCTTCCTTAAACTGTGGTCATTTCTTCTATTTGCTTATTCATAGAAATGGGGTAGGAACAACTGGAGAGCTACTGGGAAAAAATAATTCAAGATTGAGAGCTCATTCTTTACAACAAATAAATTCTAAGATAAGTTATCAATGTTAAAAATGAACTATCAACAACAGATGAGTGGAAGAAAAAAGACAAGTGAATTTATTTACAAATTTAAAATTAAAGAGGGCTTTCGAAATTTACGGCAAAATAACCAGATACCAACAGATGAAAATATTGATCATTATAGCTAATTAAAAATGCTCCCTGAGTGTAACTCAGTGGTACAACACCTGCTGAGCAAGGGTTCAGTTCGCTAGCATCAAAGTTCAATGTTTCTACAGCAAGCACAAGAATGATAATAATAAATACTGAAAAAAATTAAATTATATCAAACCAAGATAATACATATTAAACTTGTATTATGAAGGTCTAATGTCCTTAATTTATAAAAAGACTTACATGTCAATTAAAAAGTACTGAAAACTCCAATAAAAATTAGGTAATGTAACTCAGTCAAGTACACAAACCATAAATATGAAATAATCAATTTCATTCATAAAAAAATCAATTTCACTATAAATTGAAGAAAAAAGATACCATTTTTTAAACTTATTCAACTGGTAAAAATTAGAGAGTACCCAGTGGTGGTCATGGTGTAAAGTCATAGGCCTTCTTAGGCACTGTTTTAGGGATGTAAATTGGTGCTACTTTTGCTGAGAAAAATTTAGCAACATTTACCAAAATAAAATATGCATGTTCCCTTGACTCACCACTTCCAGTGCTATAAAGTGAGCTGCGAAATAAATTTAATATCTGCATAGATGGCAGGGGGTGTAACTCAGTGGTACAGTGCTTGCCTAGCATGCATGAGGCCCTGGTTTGATTCCCAGTACTGAGAAAAGAAAAAAATAGGCCTTCACAGAAATAATCTAACTGCAAATGTAATGGAAAAAAAGGTTATCTACTTGTCAATAGATGACTGATGAATGAAGTTATGACACATACAAAACACAGAATTCTACAGTTATTTTAAAAGAATGACATTCACAAAGACATTTCTTAGAAATATTAAAGGAGAAAGAGCAAATAAGGAAGATGACGTCATTTATATACATTTGAAATGTGGGGTGAGGAGGTGGGGTGTATATCCACAGGCACACATAACCTTAAGTATTTTTCATATATAAGAAACAAGTGGTTAGTTTTGGAGGACCTAGATGGAGAAAGACAGAATAAAGCAATTTTTATGTTTTTCTGAACTCTTGGAAGGTTATACTTATGTCCCTTGATTCCACCCGCCCCCATCCCCGCTTTTTTTTTTGCAAGGCTCAGGATTGAACCAGGGGCCTCTGTCATGCTAGGCAGACCCTCGACCACTGAGCTACATCCCCAGACCACCCCCCAACCTTGTTTTTTGAAGATGCTATTCATGAAGTAAAGTTGATTCTCAAATAGCTAATGTAACATGCAATCAAAAACAGGCCTTGCCCAGTATGAATAATAGAAAGTTTACATTGATTTTCCTCTGTGTCAAAACCCTGGGACTGCAGTTCTCTTCCATGGGGTATTTTCTGGCTGTTGTAGTTAGGTTCCAAGAAGTATCTGCTACAGTGAGAAATCTTGCTGACTGGCATATTAATTTTCCCCCTCAAACTAAAGTCACGTTTAGCAATTAGAGTCCATCTAGCTTGGGTAAGCTCTGCACAAACATGAGGATATTCTTAGCTTCATTCTCTTGTTCACTGGACTTAAGGGCAGAGCTGCTGATATTTGTAAAATGGAAGAATGGATAATAAAGAAGTGGAAGGATGGAAAGAGGGATAGGAGAACAGAAGAAGTGTCTTCCTGGTCAGATAAGCAGATTCTTCCCCTGCCTTCCCCTCAAGGCAGCACCCTCATTTTATATGCTACCAGTCAACCAGGCAGATGCTGAAGCTGCCCTTGTTCACTCATCCTGACTTTCTCTTATTCTTTTGGAACCTGCTTCTAAACATCTTGGATTGTCCTGAGGGACAATTTCTCTGAGAAGCCCCCAGCATGTACACCAATCCCCAGTTTCTTTTATTCATATTCATTTCCCTAATTTTCTCCCTCTGAGCACAGAGTTTGACACAAAGTCCTGATTGTTCTTTTGTTCCTTTTGACCAACATTTGGCTTATACAATCCAGCATTTGACTCACTGTTAATATCTTTCCACAAATGTACTGAGTGACTGGATGCCCAGCACCAACGTAGGACTTGGGCCTAAGTTTTTAACTTTTTAACCTTATATCTAAATTTTATCTACATAATTAACAACTTGTCTATTGTAGACCTTTGTTCCCATTCATCAGCTAGGAAATCTAGAGAGGTACAGAGGCATTTGAAAAGGCTCATTTTGGAACTGGAAATAATTTATTAACTGGATTAATAAAAGTACAATTTACTATGATGTTTACTATATTATATGTTATATTATATGTTTATTATATTAAAGATTGGAACTCTAGTAATAGATAAAGGTAACAAACATGTCACCTTGACAGGGGGCACTTACACGGTCCCAAGGGCAATTGTGAGAGGTAGAATTGACCTTCAGAACCATTTTTTTTTGTGATACCTCAACCCTACCTGCACAAATGATGTAAAAAGGTCACATAAAATTTACCTTGAGCATCAGATACCGCTTAATTATTTTTGAAATGACAACATTGCTTTACATGGAGCCACTATCACATAACCTTTATAATTGATGATATCTTTTTTCCTTATGTGAAAATGTGGCTGTGAGTTTATCAGCTGATAAAATTTGAACATATTCAAATTTACAAATAATGGGAAAAGTCTTAAGTCCTCAGCCCTAACACTCCATTGCGACCATCAGGGGCACCTGCACAGTCACACTGGGGCTATCAGAGCTTCCTGCCATCACTTACGTCATGTAGGTGAAAAACGTGCTGAGAGGCTCCAAGGAATGATTCCGGAAATAGTCAAATTCTCCACACAGCTTTTTCCTCATCTCGGTGTCAATTTTGGAAACAGTAAGAGGATTTGTTTGATTAGCCAAGAAATTACCATAATCAGTGGTTTGAAGATGAATTTTCAGATCTGAAATGAAAAGAGATCACAAATCAAGTTAAATTTTCAGCATGCATAAATAGCTTTTTCAATATTAACTGAACGTGTAGTAACTTTAAGGTAAAACACTTAGTGTCTTACTAGATTTCAATATAATGTCTGTATGTTATTTAAACTTGCGTGTTCATCTCTGAAGCCATGAAAAATTCAGTGTAAATATGCGTATTATAGCACACCAAAAAATTTTCCAATTATCTCAGAAATCTGGTATTTTTTCACAGAGCTAGAAAGAATGAACAACAGAAACCTAGTAGAGATGGTTTTACCTGAGCCAGTTTTAGTCATTTTGAAGTAGCTGTTTGGGAAACTGTTGAGTGGATACTAAGTCTCTGTCCCAAATTGACAGAAAAGAAAAATGTATTAGTAATCACTCCCATGGAGTGGCAGCCATCACTGCCCCATTTCAACTCCTTTCATTATAAATAAAGAACCCACAGCTCAGTATGGCTAAATACTGGAGTTATATAATGGCTGAAATAGGACAGGAGAAGATACTTCTGTTAAAAATCCAACATATCCAACATCATGTCCACCAGACTATGCCATGCATTCTTTAAATGTCAGTGGTTTGGGTTATTAGATGATTGAATTAAATTCCAGCTTCTTCTTTTTGGGGGGGCAGCGGGTACTGGAGATTGAACTCAGAGGCACTCAAGCACTGAGCCATATCCTCAGCCCCATTTTGTATTTTATTTAAAGACAGGGTCTCACTGAGTTGCTTAGTGCCTTGCTTTTGCTGTGGCTGGCTTTGAAGAGATCCTCCTGCCTCAGTTTCCTGAGTAGCTGGGATTACAAACTGTGATGGCACCTAGCTAAATTCCAACTTCTTTTGTTGTCATTTCCTTCTGAGAAAATTCCACCCCTCAAACCCAGTGCTGGGGCTAGAACCCACGGCTAATGGTATCTCCATTAATATGTAATTTTGATGCATCAGTTAAAAATAAATACTTATACATAAAAAAGAAGAAACCATGCTATACAAGATAAGTATATACAATTTTTAATGTTAAATTTTATAAAAGGTGGTAGAAAAGGAGAGGTAAGATGAAGTAAACACTGGAGCATTCTGGAGGGCTTGGTATCTGTATCCTGGGAATAAGAGGGAGCCACTGTGGTCTATGAATTGATAGCCTTGGGGGAGGGTGGATCTGGCATTAGGCAAGATATAGTTCTTGAGTGGCTGAGATACAGGGTATGGGCCATTCTTCTTTGGCATTCCAAGTAGATTCTGCATTGAAAGGCTCTTTTATTTGCTTGATTATATAATTAATGAATTCACTTAAAAATAGTTATGCTTTTTTTGTGTGTGCATGTGCCTTGTTTCACTTTTATTTTGGCAGTTCAGATTTTTAAGTAATTTGACAGTTTGCATTCTCAGCACCAAGGAATATTTGCCAACAGAAGTGACACAAATGGTATTTCTTTCAAAACCATGATATTTTGCTCGGTGACATATGTTTCTTCTAAGCTAAGCTTAGAAGTTGCCAGAGAGATGCTGAAATTTAATGTCTCCAGTGTTTCAGGCCCTGTAGGAACTGTGGAATCAGGAGTCAGCGGGGAGGCAGGTAGACTACAAGACACCCTGTTCCCAGTTTCAAAGTAATCCAAGGGAACTCACATGTGGATTCTAAGGAAACCCTAGAATGTAAAATATTTGCTCTGCGATGATGGTAGATTACTACTAAGAAAAACAACAGTGCTCATAGATTTATAATTTTCAAAATTGGTTCACTTAATTTTTTCCCCTGCATTTCTTTAAATGCTTATCTAAGCAGGGATGTCAGTAATAAGACTTTGTGGTCAACTATGTTTGGAATAAATAGGCTTTTTATTGCAGGAATTGAAAGACTATAAATATACATGTGCCTGCATGTTTGTACATGGGTAAAATATTAAAAAGTATCCTCCAAAAGTTGCAGTTGCCTAGTTAAAGGAACTATATGAGATCACTTGACTAGTCAATGAGTCAGGACAGGGAAGTGAGAGATCATGATCACCTTCTATTAATTTGTTGGCAGATCATTTTTAGAGTATATTATTGTTTGGGCCTCTGTATAAAAATCAATGTCCAGCCTGGGGAAGTGGTGAACACCTATAATGGCAGTTATTCAGGATACTAAGGCAGGACAATTGTAAATTTGAGACCAGCCTGGGTAACTCAGCCAGTTAAATTTAAAAAAAAAAAAAAAGAAATTTTAAAAGGGCTGGTGACAGAACTCAGTGGTAGAGCCCTGCTGGGTCCTACTCCATATAGAGACTAAAAAAGTGTGTATTTGACCTACCAATCTCCAGGAAGGCTATGTCAAAGAAGCACATTAGAGGTGCCTGTCCAGGATGTTGTCACCAAGTGGCCCCCTGTCCATTCTCGCCTCCTGCTGGTGCTTAACTTATGGAATTTATCTGACCTTTCATTTTTCTTTTCTTTTCTATCACTGAGCTGTACCCCCAGCCTTTTTTTATTTTTCTTTTTTAGTTGTAGGTGGACATGATACTTTTATTTTATTTATTTATTTTTATATGGTGCTGAGATCAAATCCAGTGCCTCACATGTGCTAGGCAAGCGCTCTACCACTGAACTACAACTCCAACACCTCCTCCCAAACCAAGACCCTCTATCTCATATTTTACTATGAGAGAGGGTCTTGCTAAGTTATAGGACAAATTGGCCTAGAACTTGCCACCCTCCTGCCTCAGGCTCCTAAGTAACTGGGATTACAGGCCTATGCCACTGCACACTATGTTTCTGAACTCTGTTTCCTCACCTACAAAATGTATATAGAGGGCTGGGGACATAGCTCAGTGGTAGGATACTTGCCTAACATACTCAACTTGATCCCCAGCACCACATATACACAAAGTATACTGAGTATCAAATCTATGCTTGCAGGCTATATCACGGATTAGAATAAGTAAGAAGACAGTCCTTTCTTAGTCCCCAGCTCCAAATAATAATAATAGTAGCAGTAGTAGTAGTAGTAGTAGTAGTAGTAGTAGTAATAATAATAATAATAATAATAATACTGCTATAGGGAGGTCACTTTCAAAATATTTTAATTCAACTGGCTTAAAACTTTGGTTATTATTCTCTAAATCAGAAATTTGCCAACCAATGTATTGGATTCTACCATCAGATCTAATAATTACTTAGAGTTTTAATAAATATATCAATATCTATAAAACCAGACATGTGTTCCTCCACTTTTATGAAGCTATTGCCATTCATGTGATGTGGAAACTTCAGTCTTCTTTAGTGTTTTTTTTTTTTTTTTTTAAAATGCCAAATCCCTTGCATTTCTTCTCTGACTTCTACTCTTTATTTTCGGGTTTAGAATGACTGACCTAGATTATTGTGTCTACCTCTTAGGTTTTTCTAGGCGTGTTTTCCCTCACGTGTTTCCAGCCTCAAGTTTAATCTTTCTTAAGAATTGTTTTGCTCCTTTAATTGTCTAAGAAGGAGTTTAGAGCCTCTTAAAATTTTCGGTAAATTATTGATGACATCCTCTCAACCTGGTAAGTATTTAGGTAGTAAATAGTGTCTTGTTGTTCTTTACACTCTCCACGGCACCTAATAAAACTGTTGTCACATAGCTGTGCCTCAAAAAATTTGTGATTAAAACCTGGTGAGGCAGGTGTATAGGGTTCAGAGAAATTGGTGACAGTCAATAGGGACTACATGTTCCATGCTTCAGATAAATGGCAGGAACAGAAATACAGGGTTAAAGTTTAAATTAGAGATGATTAAAAGAAAAAGCACTGCATGATTTATGCTTAAGATCAATGGTATAAAGGCCCCTCCAATTACTCCATTGTCAAAGATAAAGAGCAAGAAAACATCAAAGGATGCAAACAGGTCAGACCATAACTCCTTGACCCAAAGTACCTGAGACCCTCATTTAAATGCATTTCCGTGTTACAAGATACACCCAAAGGGAGGACCTAACACAATTTTAGACACATTTTTAACAATATTCAAAATGAGGCAGGTGCATCAAGAGACTGCAGCATAATGATGACTATTGCTATGCAAACTAAAAATATCCAAATTCCTAATCCACCACTGTATAAATGCTCTGCACTCTGACTTTCTTGTCACTCTGCCTGTGGAGTGGTCACTTTATTGCCCGGCTACTCTGTATATGAAGTAGCCACCTTGCTATACTAATCAATGCCATAAATTATTCTTTCTAACCCTTTCTTCATCAGATTTCTATCCTGCACAAGTTTAAGGACTCACTGAGTCAGTGACACTGGGACCAGTAGACCAGCAGTCACACAGCGCCTCATTAGTTCAGTATTAACAGTGTTGCAACTCAATTGATTCTTATTCCTAGAATGACTATTTCCAAAGTGGTACCCTTTGAAGGAGAATGGAATTAACTAGTCATATGCCAAATACCACTATCCAAGACCATGCAACGGAAATAACCATTTCAGGAATTCCAGCGTCTAGCAGGAAAGGATTCTTGTTGTACATGCACTCCAATTCCCAGAAATACTTAAGATTGACAGTTTAAAAACCATCTTCAAATATTTCTGATCCTCTCCTGAACTGGGAGTTAAGCCAGGGATATACTATCTCAGTATCAGACAAGAAAGCACCCATGCTAAAGGTTGAACAGCCCACTTATCCCATAGCCAGGAGCTAGAAGAGCTTGACATAAGACCAAACATTTAGACATTTCTTCTTCTCCTCTTTTTTTTTTCTTTTTAGGATAGGAGAGATAGAGAGAGGAGAGGAGAGAGAGAGCAAGAAAAGACAGAAGAGATGGAGAGGAAAGAGGGAGAGAGAGAGTAAGGAGAGAAAGAAGAGACACAGAGAGGAAGGAGGGGGAATGTTTAGACATTTCTAATGTTCATTTTGAGATTCTTCCTATGCAAAATACAGTCTTGTGCTATAAGAGGCAGGAGAGAGAAAAGTGTCAGGTGTATTTTCTGCCCATAAAAAGCTTATGATAGGGTTGGGGATGTAGCTCAGTGGTAGAGCGCTTGTCCCCAGCACCACAAAAAAAAAAAAAACAAAACAAAGTGACAACAAAACTGGCTTATAGTGTAGGAGACAGAGGCACTTACTCACTCATGAGCTAAGAGTCTAACTTGGATAGTCTCTGCATCATCAAAGACAACAGAGACAAGTGTCCTGCTCCAGTGTGATACACCTATGCAAATGTCACTATTGCTATATAGCATTAGATTCATTGCAAGTTTCATTGGAGCACAAATGAGAGACTATCAATTCTCCCTCACAAGGTTATAGCAGTATTAAAAGGTTGATAGAGGAACAGGATTGAAAGGGGACTTTAAAGGGAGTGAATGTTCTTCAGGCAAACCACATGGAGAATGGAATTTGTGATTGAAGGAATAGCTTTAGAAAAAGCAGAGTGTGCTGAGGAAGTTCTTGAGACCAGCCAGACCACTGGAGGCTTTTAAGCCAAGAGAGACATTTCTTCTGCTTCATGGAAGCCATTTGTGGATATACATTTTTAATATAAAACAGAAAAAAATAAGTGCTATAATTACAAATAATGTCTTAGGAATCATGGAGAAGGTTCTTTGAAATAAGAGTCTTCTTCTTATATGTATTGTTTAATTTAAAAATAGGTAGTAGGTATATACCACATGCATGCATGCAGGCATACACACACAAACACACAGGTAAACAGTGAAAGTTCTAGACTTGTCATCCACTCATCTACCACTGCTGCTGCTTATTGCCTGCCCCAGGTAACTACTATTTCCTGTTTCCCTTGGATACTTTTACACTGTCTCTGAATCTATAAAATCATATAGGACACATTTTTACAATTTATCACTCTTTTCTATTCAAGAGTATCATTCCACTCCAGGTTCTTCCTCTCACTTATCTCATTTAATATATCTCCAGTAATGTTTTCATTCCTAACATCTTAAGAGTGCTTCCTCATGCTTTCCCCATTTTTATTGCTGCAGAATATTCATTATATAAATCTTACATAACTTATTTTAATCAGTTCCCTACAGAGGGACATTCGATTTGCTTCCATCTTCTGCTATTCCAAGCAATGCCACAGTGAGATCTGGTATTGCTGTCATCTCACACGTGAGCATGTCTGTTTGTGGGCCGTGGGATTCCTGAGGCGAATGTGCATTTATTTGTAATTTCAGTGGGTACTGTCCAACTATCCTCCTTAAGGATTTCTTATTTTTCTAATATTTTCATTCTCCACTTTTAAGGCAAGGACTGTATCTTATTCATCTTTACTTCCTTGGCCCTAGCTGGAAAATGCTAAATACATGATTACTGAATTAATTCGTACCTGACAGCATAGTTGGAGAAGGACAGAAGAAAAGTCAAATCTCTTAAAAGGAATGTAATTGTTATTGAGATGGTAATAGGCTCTCTTCATTCCCTTTCCAAAAAATGCATAAATGGGAACAAAATAAAAACTCAATCCAGTTCTCTCCACATCCCGAGAGCCAGTGAACATGTTTACCATATGTTTTAGAAAAAGCCCATATATTACTAAACTTTACTAGTTTCACCATCTTGTTTTTCTCCAAGAGGAAAGAATATTTACATGACAGCCACACTTTTAATTAAAATCCTGATAAAAATAGTAAGGCTAATTTTCAAAAGAATATAACTTCTTTTTTTTTTTTTTTTGTACTTTGGAAAGACTGAGTCCCAGTGACTGGGTCAGGTGCCTATTAGTCAGGGACAAGCCTTGGAATAGATGAGCATTTCTGATCACACTTGCTCCCTTATGCATGTGAACTAGCACAATTATGAATACTAAGGCTTTCCACAGCTTTTCTGGGGTATCTTTATCTCTTCTAAATTTACCTGAAGATTTATGTGTTCCTTGTAAGTACTGCTAACACAGTTTGTTGCTATCTGAATACTTTTAAATATTAGAGGACTTTAAAGGACTAAAAGCAAATTCTACCTTCGCCATGTCAGCTTTTCTTTCAAAGAAAGCACCTGCTTTACCATGTAGTACTGTAATTACACAGTTACCTTCTCTTCTTTATCCATAATTTGTACAGTACACACTTTCTGCAAACATCAACAGAAATCCTTAAGTCCTTAATTTCTATCCCCCCCAAATGCCCTTGACTGATCCTCAACTCTGAATCTAGCTCTAAAGGTGGCTGGGTCTCTCTAAGCACATTTATGGATGCAACAAATGCACTGCTTTTCAGTTATTTCCCAACATCCTGGAAAATCATCGAATTTAAAGCAGTCCTTATTATTTTCTACTATCAAAATGGAGCTGATATCAATTCAATCCAAATATTCATGCATCTTCAACTTATACTCAGGGAGTAGTAGCATTTTGGTGGGGAAAGAGACACAGATTAGTTCTGTAGTTTGTAGGTTGATCACAGCCATTCTAAGTCTCAGTGTCCTCAACTGTTAAGTGAGGACGTGTGAAATCCTTATTTAGATTCATTTATTTGTTTATTTGCAGTACTGGGGATTGAACCCCGGGCCTCGCACATGTTAAGCAAGTGCTTTGCCACTGAGCTACATCCCCAGCCCTAGATTTATTTTTTTCAGCAGCCATAATTACCCAAACGTGGTTTGATGATTCATACTTAATATTTCTGGGAGCCTCCAAATGTAGATTGGCATGCAGACTCGAAATGAATAAACGAAAAAATATATATTACTGAGAAGGTAGAAACGACGAGATGTTAAAGTGACAAAGCAATGTGTATATGACAGTGTTTCTTAAACAGGGTACAAGGATGGGTCCATGATCCCCTGACATTGTATGGAAAATTGTATGTGTGCACATATATATTTATTTCTAAGAAGCTTCATTCTTGAGGTCTCCAAAAGGGTCTGAAAGTATTCTTTCTTTCCCAAACTGCAAATGAAGCTTCCAAATTCAGCTGAGTACTTATTTAGATGCTAGATCTGTTAACCTCATTCCTTAATTCTCTCCCTATCTCAACAGAATATTTTGGTCAAAAGGGCCCATAGCAGAAAACATTGGGAATGACTTTTAAATTCCTAATTTTAATCTTTTTTTTAACCTATTTGTTTCCTAGAATTCTTTCCATGACTTAAGATATGGATTTTCCATGGTTTCTCTCTGAATTCTCGTAAGCAGGCTAAACACTGTTTTTGGTATTGCAAAGATATTTTATGTGTTGGTTACATTTAAATTTGCATTTCTTACCTCATTTAAAGGCTTGAGTGAAAATGAAACAGAACTTATTTAAATGGCTTCTCTCAGAAGCACTTATTCTGCTCGGTGTTCTTTAAGTTTGTCATATTTATGCAGATTTTTCTATACATGATTAACATTCTCCAGTCACCAGACTCCTAATTTAATGTGCTGAAGAGATTTAGGATTGGAATTGTATTGTAATTACTTGTAGCCAATAGAATTAGTTACCATCTGAAAGATTCTAGCTGTTTCCACTGCTGAGGAAAGGACAGGGTGTAACTCATTTTGGGTGTTTAACTCTGGCTTTAACTGGTCACAACCATAAACAAGTGACCTCAGCACTCTTCTGCTCTACCTGAAAAGCCTGCAAAGTCACCTTCAGAAGACTTTTCAGTTTGTTTTTACCTTTCCTGGGAGGCTTTATCCTTAGTGCTTACAGGTTTCTTTAGAATAATCTGGAAGTTTTAAAGCATTTTATTGACTCTACAATTACGCTTCAAGATGACCAAGTGAAGCTTGTTCTTAATAATGAAAATACTACTTCAAATATGGGATCTTTGGTAAGGTTTTGAAAAAAAAAATGTGGTTTAAAGGTAATTTCCATAAATCTTGTTTATTTCTCCCTGTAACTCACCTAAATGGGCATTTGCCATCACATGTTACAAATGGGGACTTGGAGGCACCCATGGACACATGGCAGAGGTAAAAGCCAGGACTTCTGAATCCAGGGCTGTGCCCACCACCGACCTGATTTTTTGCATTTTTTCCCCCATTGATCTTCTGACAATTTGGTGAAACACTTTTCCAAATACTGTTTATAAATATGTAGAATGAAAACACATAGGATTACTAATATTTTAAAATACAGATATCCAAATTTTTAAAAATAAATATTGTACTTCTTTAATAAGATGTTAAAAATCAAACTTAAAGGATGAGTGTAATCTTTATTCTGGATTCCAAAGAGAAAAAAAAATGATTTTTCAAGATATCTACAAGAACGTTAAATGGATATGAAAATATTTAATTTTTGTTGGTGACAAAGCCACAGGTACTGCTTACACCAACCACCCTGATTTGTACCCTACGTTCATGATGAAAGGAAGTGTTAAATTTCACTTAGATTTACTGGAGATCTAATTTTTTTTCCTCTTCCAAGTTCATAAATACCCCCAAATCTGGACTCCAGAAACAAGAACCTCCTCAGGACACAGGCCAATGGGATCATGGTCTCTTCTCCTTGCTTCCAGAGAGCGACATCATTTCCACCTTTCCTTTCTAAAGGGTGAGAAGAGCACACGTACCTTCCAGGGTCTCACACTGGACCAGGTTGATATAGTCCTGCTGGGTTAGGAGGCTGGCTTTGCATCCTCGGACCAGGCCCTCCAGGTAGCCATGGTCCACATTGAAGTATAGCTCCGCGCTCTCAAGCATGGGGAAGGATCGCAGGGGATCACGCTGAGCAGCTCCGAGGCCTGGTCAGCCTCTGTACACTTGCACCAGTCTGGAAAGAGTGCTGGTGGCACAAACAATCTCTCAGCTGGTCGTCGGGATGTTTGTGACTAGTTTCCTCCGGTTTCAGTGGCTTTCAATACTCTATGCTCAGCCCTGTTTTTATGGCAACAGTGAGTGAGCCATATGACCCAAGTAAACCCTGGGAGCAGATCCTACTGGGAGGAAATTAGGACCTATGGGGGAGGGGGAGGGGCTCCACTCTTCCCGTCCAGAGCACCAGCCCCTGACTGCAACGGGAAGGCTTCAAACACCTGAATGTTTTGTAAATATTTCCATAACCATATGAGCTTTCAATTATAAATTGCACTTGTTCCTTTTTTTTTTTTGACAACTATTAATATGTACCAAGAGAAGGCTTTTTTCAGAATAAAAAAAGGAACTACATAGATTGATCAATCAAATATGAGCAGGCTGTTTGAAGACTCTTGTGAAGCTAATTCTACAACATGGTTTGTAAAACAAATGTTACTAATGTTTAAAATTGCCAAGGGATGAATGCTTCTTACAGTCTAGGGGCAGAGCCCGCTGATTCTGTAATAAATAATCCACTGCTTTGCAAAATTTGACTGTTTATAAAGTACTCTTCATTTTCTTTTTCCCATCTGAACTGCATGATTACTTTGAGATGAGTATCTGCACAGGTACTATTGCTACTTAACTCACAAACAAGGAATCAATTCTCAGAAGCTGGAAGGCAGCTCAAAATGCACAGGTGGTAATGCAGTAGGTGTTAAATGAAGCAGGGACTTAATTGTTGTGTTTAATGCTTCAAAAAGAAGTACTCATTCTCCCAGTATACTTAGATTGAAAATTTTGTCAAATAACTCAAGCACTATTTGCATATACAGTGTTTCACATTCTTAATTGGAGTTAAAGTGCCAGAAATTCTCTGGACTTTGTCTCCATATTTCCAAACTGTGTGGGAGAAGTAGGAAAGAACCAATGTAATTCTGTTTTAGTTGCTGAAAACCACAGAGAATCAAACTTAGCTTTCCACAGTGCCTGACTTTGAAAGTGCCCCCCAAATAGGATTGGCTCTTAATATGTCATCATTATCCCTCCTTCCCTTAACTGTTCCACCATCGCAAACATCCTGAATATGTTTTGTGTTGAATCATATGAGCTTGTTTATTATTTTGATAGTTCTGCAAATGGTCACACATCAGCTATTTCTCAGAATTCAAATTAAGGCAAACTTGCAATGAAATTATAGAAATAAACTTCTCTTTTCCTAATAATTTTTATTATGTTTTACTATTATTTGTGCACTTGAGGTTATTGTGTCTATTGTAGATGTATGGCAGACATTTTGGGGGGGACAGAGCAGGGAGGGGAAGGTACCAGAGATTGAACTCAGGGGCACTCAATCACCTAGCCATATCCCCAGCCCTATTTTGTATTTTATTTAGAGACAGGGTCTCACTGAGTTGCTTAGCACCCTGCCTTTGCTGAGGCTGGCTTTGAACTCATGATCTTCCTGTCTCAGCCTCCGGAGCCTCTGGGATAATAGATGTTTGGCCATCACTCCCAGCTGGCAGATATTTCTGTTGCAGTTTTTGTAGTGCTAGGGATTGAACCTAGGGCTTCACATATGCTGGGAAAGTACTACTGAACTATACTCCAACCCAGTTGGGTTGAGATTCTATATAACAGTGTGCTACCATATACCATGTATATTTCTTCTTGGCCAATCATGGCAGGAGTGTTTACACCATGAAAATAGGCAAATTTTAAAAACTAGGGCTTCATTTCTAGTTTGATTGATTGTTCAGTCATAAGAGAATGATGGAGAAAATGTTAATAAAGCAAATTAAACTTAAAAATGTGTAATGTCTATAAGCCATCACGTTGTAAGTTGCAAGAAATTTGAAGAAATATTCTTTCAGTATTTAAAAACTTTTCTCTGAATCATCAAAGAAGCCCCTCACATTATGAGGAACAAATGAAGTTCTCACATATCCTTTGTATTCTACCCTGTAACATATATAAAAATAATAAGTACACTTATCTGTCCACTGCAGCCATTGGTTGGTTACAGATTCAAGAGCTAAACAGCACCAACAAAATCAGTAAAATTGTGTTGTGAAAACCAACTATATGGAATTTACAACAAAGAATATTATTTTATTGTTATTTGTGAATTTGGTAATAAAAGATCCTTTGATATCAATCAGTAAAATTTAAAATGAACATGCACACATATTTTTTGAGACAGATATAAGAAGTACATAGACCTTCAGTTTTGCCTAGAAATAGTCCTACAGGTCAACATTCTTAAAAAACAATGGAATGTTGTTGTTTGTATGCAAAATAGCTTTTCAATTTTCCATATTTTTTAGGCCAGGTGCAGTGGTGCATACCTGTAATCCTAGCAGCTGGGGAGGCTGAGGAGGCTGAGACAGGATGATTCTTAGTTCAAAGCCAACCTTAGCAATTTAGCAAGGCCCTAAGCAACTCAGTGAGATCCTGTCTCTAAATAAAATACAAAAATAGGGCTGGGGATGTGGCTCAGTGGTTGAGTACCCCTGAGTTCAATTCTGGGTTACCCTGCCCCCCCCCCATTCCATATTTTAAAATTCATTTATTTACTTATTTATGAAAAATTAATAGTAATCAGCTCTCATTTTCAATTTTATCATGTCTTTCTTTCTTTCTTGACAGGATCTTGCTAAATTGCCCAGGTTGGCCTTGAACTTGTGATCCTTCTGCCCTAGCCTCCTGAGTAGCTGGTAGTTGTGCGCCACTGCACCTGGCTAAGCTTTTCTTATAAAAATCTTATATAAAGTATCTGTTATTTACATAATTAGAGAAACTAGTATGAGGAATACCCATCATTCACCTTCAAAAATGATGAATTTTTTACTAAACTTATTTCTTCTCTATCCTCTCCTGTAATATATTGTTTTGATGCATATACCAGACACTGCATATTTCTTTTTTTATTATTTATTTTTTAGTTGTAGTTGGACACAATACATTTACTCCACTCATTCATTTTTATGTGACAATGGGGATCAAACCCCAGGGCCTCTCATGTACTAGGCGAGCACATTACCCATGAGTCACAACACAGCCCCAGACACACTTCATATTTCTCTCTGTAAATATTCAATGTGTCTCCTAAAGATAAGGATTCTTTCAAAAACCACAACCATAACATCATTATGAAACATGAAACTTAGCAATAGTCTCTTAATATTTTTATTAACGACCACATATATCAATTTTATATAACTATATTATTTAATGCAGCATAAGTTTAATAGATTAAATGTCCTTTTATATTTTGTATTCATTGTCACATTTTACATTTATATGTAGAGAAAAGTTCCAGTGTTTCTTTAAAACAATAAGACACCTATGTGATCCACTTTTAATGAAATTGATGGATGAGGCAGGAAAAATGCTTCCCTTTCCTATTACATTTTTATTCAAATCTGGCAGAAGCAAAAATGTCTTATTCCTGCTAGAGGCACTTGTCAAACATGGGATAAAGCTCATGAGAGATGAGAAGAAACCCAAACATTGACAAGATCTGGAGATTTTTTATACATTGGTCTTTAGGATAGACACAAAATAAAGACATTCATTTCAGGATTTAAACTACCAATGAGATTCAGGAAAGTGGGTGTTATGGTGTGACAGGCATCAGCTTAAGTTACTTCTCTCTGAGCCCGGTGTTTTTGAGTAAAATGGGAATACCACTTACCTCCTAGGTAGCTGTAAAGATCAAAGGAGATAAATCTTTAAAATGCTTAGCACATGTGAGTATGTGTTCCAAGTACTTCACAGAGGAAGCGTCTGCAGCAGCTTCTCTTCCTCCATTTACTGACAAACCTTCAGGATCTTAATCACTTAACACTGAATTGAGTTCTATAAAGCTTCGTCCATTTCTCTCTCAAGTGCTTAGCAGCAGGCCTTGTGGGAAAGCAATATTCAATTCCTGTTTGCTTTATTAACCAGAGTCACACTTCTAAGATGACTGAAAATTGCTTCTACAGAACCTTTAATTTTATGTTTCTCTAGGAAACATTTCACTTGGTAACTGTATCTGGGTGGTAGGGGTATTTTGTGATTTTTGTAGCAGAATATACCTAAGTATGTAACTGTGGCTGTGTGTCTATTCTTAAAGGTTGTGTAGTGTTTATTGTGACTTTCTGTCAATTTAAAGACCTCCCAGGAGTCATTAGCTTTATAGTTTTAGAGGATCGATTATTCTTCTAAGGAATAAAGATGTTCCTTGGAGAGGTATGGTGCCTGTTACTCTGGATATAAAAGTTTTCTGGATGTGGTGAGCTTTTCAAAACACAGTGAGGAAGCAAAGGAGATCAAGGCTGGTGCCTGTGCACCACCCTCTGGATGTCTGCCATGCGGCTAAGGCAGGCCTAGGCCTGGCTGAACTCTGAGCTGATATCAGGGAGTTATACTTGACCACACTCAAATAGTCCCTGAGAGTATCCTTAGAAGCGAGGTTTTGAAGGGACCCCTCAGAGCCAACCCAGAATGCAATCCATTATGAAAAAAAAAATCAAAAGCCAAGTCAAAATCCTTTTCTAACTCTATTAGCACCATTTAAATTTTTTTTTATTACAGAAAATTTTAGATAAATAGAAAAGGAAACATTTCTATAATGAGCTTTCATGTATCCATATTCAGCTTCAATAATTATTTACTGTGTTGGCAGCATTTTGTTGCTGTGATCAGAATGCCTATAAAAACAACTTTAGAGGATGAAAAGTTTATTTGGGGCTTGCAGTTTCAGAGGTTCAGTTCATCCATGGTCATCTGACTCAGTTGCTCTGGATCTGAGGTAAGGCAGAACCTTAAGGTAGAAGGATGTGGCAGAGAAAAGCTGCTCAGCTTGTGACAGCCAGGGACAAGATATAGTCCAAGGCCATGTGATCTGCCTCTTCTAGCTATGCTCACCTTCCTACATGTATAATCCTGTGATCCATTCAAATTGTTAGTCCATCAAGTGGATTAATCCATTGGTGAGGTTATAGCTTTTTATAATCCCATATTTTCATTTCTAAATGTTGCTGTATTGCTTACACATTAGCTTTTTCAGGGGACATACCACATCACTTATGGCCAAACTTGATTGAACTGATTTAT